ACCGCTCTGGAGGCCAGGGCTCTGGCCCGGGTGTTGGCAGGGTCACAGAGGCTCCAGGGGCAGGTCCTTCCTTGTCTCCTCAGCTTCTGCTGGCCCCAGTGGCCTTGGCTCGTGGCCTCCTCACCCCCATCCCTGCCTCAGTTACACAGCCATCTCCCTGCCCCTGTCTGTCCCTTCTCCTCTTGTGTAAAGACACCACTCAGATTGGATCAGAACCTGCCCTACTCAGGGTGACCTCATGTGACCTGGTTTTCACTCAAGGTCACGTTCCCAGTACGGGTGGGGCTTCAGCGTATCTTTTGGGGACAGTGTTTGACCCCCTGCACCCCTGTCCCCCCCCGCCCTCTGTGTCCCTGTCATCTGACGGCTTTTTCCTCCTTTGTCTCTAGTTCTGAGCATCGGTGAAGGGGGCTTCTGGGAAGGCAGTGCCCGCGGCCACATTGGGTGGTTTCCGGCCGAGTGTGTGGAGGAGGTGCAGGGCAAGCCCAGGGACGGCCAGCCAGGTAAGACGGGGGCACCTGCAGGCCCCCCTTGGCTCCTTTGACTTAATCTCTGCAGCCCCAGTGTCGGTGCTGCCTGTGGGGCTGCCGTGCGCGGCGAGAAGCGGGCATTGAGTTACAGAGGCAGCTGCTCTCGATCCCTGCACACAGGTCCCTGGAGTACATTTCCCTGCACATTGGCCCCCACAGAACGTCCTGGTGGCGTTTGGTCCAAAGTCGGCCCCATGCACTCTCTGGAAAACTCTGCCCGTGTGTTCTAGCTGTCAGAAGAACACTTTGTTTAGGTTGATTAAGTGCTTGACTCCTCTGTTTCAGTCTCTTAAGCTGATGTCATAAAACACTTTCCATCCCTGGCCAGGAGCTGTGTGGTTTGAATGCTGCCATGGGCACTACTCGGAAGTGTTCGGTGTCAGTGACAGAAAGTCGTCCTGTGTCTCTCAGAACCCCCGATGGCAGCACTCGCTCATGGCAGATGATTGAAGGATTAAAATGTTGAGATGAGACCCCTTACAACTTAGACACGGTTGCCTGGAGAAAAAAACGTGTGAGTGTTGGAGGAGCTGGAACGCTAATTGTCCTGTGAGAGGAGAGTGGGCCAGGCGCGTGCAGTGTGTCTGGCCTCGTTCTCTGGGCGGTCAGTGACTCTGCCACTGCCCCAGTGCAGACTTTGAGCTCTGCTGGGTCATGACCATCCCATCGAGGGTGGCCCCTGCCCTGTGAGCGGGTCTGCCCGACTGGAGCGGGCTGGGAGTGAAGCCTTTGTCCCTGGAAGCCATGTCCTGGTATTCGTTTTTTCCTTCGTGCTCCCTATGCCCTCCAGAACTGTAGTGGAGAAGGGCCTGGATCAGACGAGGAAGTGCCCACAGCTAGAGTGGTGTGGGGTGCGCTGGGGAGAGCAGCACCAAAATGGCGACTGGGTTGGCCTGGCCACCAGTCTGACCCTGGCACCTGAGAGTCGTATGAATCAGACTGTTAATAAGGAACACCCCTGGTACCAAAGCTCAAACCACACCCACTGCCAGGGAGTG